ATTATATGGAAAGTATATGCTGGAGAAGCATAAGATGAACATCAATTTTAACAGGAATGTTTATCTTTTTCTCCCCAGTTATTATCTATGAATTAACCCATGCTCAATCTGAAACGTCAAAAGCAGGAAATTTTTTTTTAAAGCAGGAAATTTTAAAAGAAAAGTTTAAGGACTAGCCTAAGATTACATACTGAACTTTTGTAGAGGTCAAAGCAGAGGTTTTAAATATGAGTGGCTATCATTTTGTAGGCATAAAAGAGCAAAATGGGGGCTGGAGAGATGTCTCAGTGGTTATGAACACTTGTTGCCATGTCAGGGGACATGGGTTTTATTCCCTGCACCAACATGAAGGTTTACAACCATCCATTGCTCTAGTTCTAGGGGATCCAATCCTCTCTGCTGATCTCTATGGTCTCTAGTCACATACTTGGTGAATATACACTCAGGTAAAACACACATAAGATAAAATTTAAAAAGCTAAAAAATTCTTTAAGAAGAATGAGAGAATTTTATGCTGCACAAACACACACACACACGTTTATGGTGTACATACACATAACAATGTTATATGATACAATTTGCAAAGTTGATGGTCTGAGAAGTATTTCTCAACTCTGTTTTTCTTGATTATGAACAAAAAAATCATTGTCTTAACTGAAAAATAAAATTGGTGTGAGGGGTCTAATACTCAATGTTTCAGTGTACTGTCAGAAAGGAGGCCAATGTCAATAACCCAGCCTCTAAACACTCTATGAATGCCTTCATAATTGTACCACAATCTATGAACCAGATGAGATCATGAGTGTCCACACTTGTTCTTGCCTGATAGTGTGTACAATAATAGATTTTAGTTACATCGAGTACTATGGATTATCATTTAAAAACAAAGCAAAGAAATGCTTCAAAAAATTAAAATATGTCCATCAATAGCAGTTCACTTTAGGACAAAGTGGCTATGGCAGTCATTTGCTGTTTCTGAATTATTGCAATTTTGCTAAATACCTTTGACTCCCTTTAACTGTAATTGGTTTATTATGCGTGCAATGGTCTTTGCATTTGTTTTTCACCTAGATGTCATGCATCTTCCTGAAGGCTGCCTCTAAAATGCATGAAATTTTTCTTGACCTTTTGACTTAGGATTAGTTTTATTTAGTATGATAAATTGATTGCATTTTGGAAAAGAAAATTAAATTGTTACTTTGTTATTGGTAAAATAGTCCATAGCAATGATGAATTACCCTATTCTGCTGACCTAAATGTATTTCCAAGTGATGAAAGTCACGGGTGCAATTGTCACTGCAAGAGTAATGAATGTAACAAAAATTCACTTCCTAGGAATGTTTGGCATAATTGTTGACATGGTAGTACAACTAATATATACTATTTTGGCAGTTGTTGCTTAGGGCTTGAAATTGCCATCGAAGGCTTGAATTGTGGCTATTGTTTGTTCGTAATATACAATTAAGATGGTGAAATAATTTCTCTACAGTGCCTTGGAACCACACTTCTGCCAGACAGAATATGTGCTCTTGTCGGAGCATCTTTCCTTGACTGAATTATATTTAAATTAAATTTAAAAGTTTTTCACAAAGTCTGCTTGTCAGAAAATCCAAGAAAGACTGTGATAGGAACAGTGGAGATTCAACCCTGGTCCACAGTGGTGGCCTGAGGAACTGCATAGGCTTTGCTCATGAATGTGGGGTGCCATGGGGAGCTACCAGCTGGTCTGTGTCCTTCTCCCTGACAGCCAGAGAGTAGGCACATATGAATCCTTCCTGAAGCCTTTGACTTAGTTTACCCTTTTCCCTTCACTGCCTTGGTTTTGCCACTCTCTGAAAACCCTACCCCGACCTTCCAAATGGTGTTACAGGCATGCACTAACTAACGCCTCTGCTGCTCTCTTCCACAATTATGCTAGCACATCCCGAGTTTAACCTTCTCTTGTCTCAAACATTGCAGGTAAAATATAAATAAAACAGAATCCCAAACCCAATACCAACCCCCACAGATTTTTGTATTCCAGTTTTATTGCTGACTAGCTATGTGACCAGAGACACTTACTTAATTTCTCTGATCCTCAGTTTTCACCACCGAATCAAAGAGATATGATTATCAGATAGAATTAATCTGTAGCTTGTTATATGGTCTGAGCATGGGCAACAGTAACATCTCATTAGATGCTGAGTGGAACATCTAAAAAACAGCCATAATTTCATTGACATATTTTTCATTGCCAATGCCCCATTTTTTAGCAACAGACCATAGCTGTCTAAGTTTGAGATTTAAGCAATGACTTCATTGCAATGTGGTATAGGTGATTTAAACAAAATGGGGGGGGTGCGTGGGCAAAAGGTTGGTGTAAAGACCTTAAGAAATTAACAAACTTCAAACTTTCTGTTTCTTTTGATTTTTATCATATACAAGAATTTGTTTCAGCGATTTTTAAGGAAAAAAAAAGTACTACCCCACGGCCACACTCACCCCTGCCAGGCTTCATAATTTTCTACCCAGACATAGTAAACTGGAAATGAAGAATTGTGGTATATTTTACCCTAAGTACCCAAGAATTCTTATGTTATACTCTGCCCATGAGGTTGCTCCAAAAGATATTTGCAGTGAGGGTGCTGGCAAAGCAAGACAAAGTGAAATGTATTATTAGCCAAGGTTTTTTGTCTCATCTCAGAGCAGAGTGCTGTCACTATAATCTGGAAAAGATGACGAGCCCCTTCTCTGTGAATGAGATCGGCTTGAATGACTTAAAAGCAAAGTGCTCCATCTAGCAGATGTGACTCTATTAAGCCTCCACCAAGGTCAGACATTAACACTCCGGTGTAGAGGGGAAGACTGGTCTAGATGACACATCAATGAGAAGAAAAGGACCCAAGAAGGACTTCCCCTAGTGCCAAGTGCTACCCTGGATGGATCCACCTATCTTAAGTCCTGGGCAGGGCAGGAGCACAGAGCCAAGATGCTCCAGGGAGAAGGGTGACAAAAAGAAGGAACAAGAGCAGAGGCAGGAAAGAGGGAGGGAGGCTTCGCGTAGATGCTGATCTAACAGAGCTATAGCTAGAAAGGGGCACTCACAGAGTTGGACAAATTAATAATGATGTATTATCTCATTGATAAATTAAAATGTGTGAAACGGTAGCACATGTTCTTCGTGTTGAGATATTTCCACCTGACACATGTCAAGAAGGACTCAAATGTATGCTAGCTGGGAATGCTTGGGAAGAAGGCTGACATCTTGGATGTTAATTTCTGATCCACCTCTTAGTTGGCTTTCTTTTCTACTTCCAGCCATATTTCAGTTCCCTGCACAAATAATGCAATTCTTTCATCTCGCCTAAAGCCGTCAGAGGATGCACAATGTTCTCAAGGTTCACAGTCTCCATTCAGGTTCCTAAACTGGCTTTGTGTTTTAGCTTCAACATTATATATAGCTACTACGTCACCATCCTCCCCATTAGACCTGAGGTCTCACTGCTCTGTTGGTAAACTCACCACACGTTGTCCTTGCTATTGACTTTGTACTTGATAGTCTCTCTACCCAGAATGCTTTCCCTCTTCATTTTTAAGGTTCTAGTCCGTGGCCCTCCTGTGGAAAATCACCTTATAGTTTCCTTGTAGAATTAAATATGCCTTTTCTGAAGACTCACAGTATTCTGTAATACTATATTTCATAGTGAGCTCTGATATTTCAGGCTATCACTCCATCAACATGTAAAATGAAGTACCTAGTAGAGTGTCTTTTTCATTTTTTATTTTTATTTACTTAATTATCCATTGTATATCCACTGCAACATATACATAGTAAGTCCTCAAGTACACTTATTGAGTTGTTATGGCAGACATAGCTTCAAATTTTTATAGACTCCCTCCTACACATCTTTAGAGGATTTCTCTTTTTAAAGTAGTAATCAAATGTTGAGAAAAGAAAACCTTTATTACTTTAAAACCAATTTTACTTCCAAGAATCACTGACTTTCAGAACACTAAGGTTTTATTCTGATAATAGTGCATTAGATATAAGTAGCATCAAGATAGCTTTACACGTAACTGAGATAAGGGAGGTTTTAAATTTAAGCATAAAATTCCATAACCCATGCATAAGCTGAAGCAATTGAACTCTGACATGCCTTTTTATTTTATTTCTGGAGCGATTTTGCGGTTCATGGTGTCCTAACATTTGATGCAGTCCAGAGAGGCTGAATTGATACTTGTGTCTCTTCTCTGAAAGACGTTTTCAGTGGTTGATAGTGTGAGTTCTGTTTTCAAAAACACCAAGTCCAAAAAGATACAAATGCTCCCTTAGTAAACCTCTGGTGGCACTGAATTGCTTGACTGAAGGATGAGATGAGATACTTTCCTTCAGCGTGATTGCACTGCTTCTCTGGCTAACTTGTTCCTGGGATATTTGCTTAGTGAACGCTGACGTTTGCAGAGGACAGGAGTTGTGGACCGGAGTGTCGGGGGGCTTCTGGTGACTGAGCTTTCACGTTGGTGCAGGTGGGATTTTCTCCTCACATTCTAGATGCTTTCATAAGCTCTCGATGATCTTCACTGAGAAGGAGGGCCTACAAATTCAGGCAAAAGAATTCCCACGTTGAGCTTACAATCAGAAAGTGTTTTCCCTACCCCGTATGTATGTTTGCATGTATGTATGTATGTATGTATGTATGTATGTATGTATGATATTTGTCTATATGTCTGCTTGTCTGTATTTCTGTTTTTTATTTTCAAATTGAAAACAGGTCAGACTGACTCTTCAGGTTAGAATCCATTAATGTGATGTATAGTCACACTAATCACCTCTCTAGTTTCACTTTTGATAGAACCCAGCAGAAAGATGTTTTGGCAAGTGTATTCATAATTTGTCTTTCTTGCAGGGCTTTCTCTGCAATTGTGTGTCCCATCAGGGACTCTGTTAACTTATTGACAATCTACTATGATTGATGGCAACCATTGTCTTGTTAACATTCCCTCCACTCTTCAATCCACAGAGCAATACTAAGACAACCTTTGGCTTAAAGAATTAAAAAGAAATACGACTCTTCAAGTAAGAAGACTTCCTTCAAAGGTAGGATCTACATTCTTATAGTATTTAAATTCTTAAAGAGAGTTATACTATAAAATATGTGATTATGCAGTATTAGTGTCATGTTTAATACTCTTCATCAGGGAGCATGGTAAAAGACAGGAAGGAAGACTACAAATGCAGAGACATTTATCATCTCCCTTGTCAAAGAGAATGGATCAAATGCACACAGAAGAAAACCAGGCTTGCTATCTATTCATTGTACGGGAGTACTGTTTGTGCTTTACTCAATCATGACTCATTAAGCTCAGAAAATGCCACTGTTGATTAAAAAAATCCCCAAAGGAACTAAAGGTTAAAAATTATAGGGTGCTATTAATAAGAAAATCATTTCTACTGGATCTGATCATATATCAAAACCCTGAAAATGTGGCTTCATGTTTTTTTCTGGCATCTCTGAACAATGGAAAGCTCAGTCCTGAAAGCTTAAATATTGCTTTGAAATGTGTTTTCTGTCTTGTAAATCCTTTCCCAACCCCTTGTCTCCCACTTGTCCCACTGCCCAGCCCACTCCATTTGAGTCAAGTGTGATTATTAACTCCAGAGCAGACCCTGCTAGGCCTGTGGTGCTTTCTGAAAGGCCATCTATTGTATTACTCTACTTGGTGAAAAACATCTTAAATGGAAATCTGGAACTAGATATCAACCAACAAGAGCTGTCTTAAGGAATTGTAAGGGCCCATTGTTCAGATGTCTGGTTCTGTACTTCATAGATTTCATTAAACAAGTGAATTCTCATGGATTTTAATTAAGAAGATTGCATGCAAGATTTTGAAGTAGTGAAATCCTTCCATCATTTTTGTCCATTGTTTTTGAGAAAAGTTGATCTACTGAGAAGTCATTTTGTAATTAAGAGGAAATGATTCATGCCTGTGACTGAATTTGCTGTCATCAGGCTGACTAGAAAATTATGTAATGTGACAGATTCTTATGGTATTCTAAAATACCATCAGAAATGAATATTGCTGTAATAACAAGTCTTCTGTAGATAGTTTGAGGCATGTTTACTATGAGAGGCAGAAAGACAGCAAAGGCAAGTGTCTACCTTTAGGCTGGAGTCCCTAGTACAGTGAAATATAACAGAAGTCAAGGTAAGCTAAGTGATCCCGAGGATCACTGGATGTTGTACTTGAGGGACACAGCCTGAGGGCTTTCCCATGGAGTAAGACATTGTGGGATGGCTCTAAGAGAGTTTTCCTGGCAGGATGTGATACTTTCTCATTGTTGTTCAAAAAGATGGTTGGTTTGAAAAAATCTCTTGTCTTTTAGAGAAGGAAGTGAAAAGGCTGCGTTGCACCTTTCTTAGTACACACTTGCCGATCTGTTTGGCTAGCCTTTTAAGTGACTAATGAGAACTTTCACTTGGCAGGCTGTTAGAGCTTCTGAAATATCTCATTTTGTCCATGTGAATGGACTCATCTGGCCAAAACTGAACACTGAGAATCTTCCTAATTTTTGTCCCTTGCTTCACAAAGACCCTCTGAAACTTCTCAAAATTCTAAAGCATACTTGTATTCAGAATGTCCCCAGGCTATTCAGCCATTAGCCTCTGACATTAGACTAAGAAAGTTGTGGGGGTGGAGAGAACGGGCAGTAGAAAACTAACTACAGTGACTTAGTTTTCAGTGGGATTTCCCACAATTGGTAGTATGCTGTGGAGTTTGAAAGATGTGAGACGCCAGGACTGTAAACTGTGTGAGACATCGATCTCAGATCCTTCTCTGAGAAGTGATATTTGTCTCTTTCTGTCCCATGCTGGATATGATAAACATCACTTACCATTTACCATAATGTGTAAGTTGTTCTCATGGAAGGTCTACATTCCTGTCTTATTTGAAATTTGAAATCAATACCCAAATTTCTTTAATTTGGAATTTCTTTAATGTGCCAATGTGAGTAGTAGGGGCACCCCAGCAATTATACCCTTGAACTGGTTTCCACCATGGCTATATTAACACATATGAAGAAACCATGTACCTTGAAGCATGTTCCCACTTGGCAGATTGTGAAAATAAAAAAAAAAAACTCTAGCAGTCCAACAGGATATTGGAACTGTGGATTGTTAATGACTTGAATATTGGTATTTGGTCTGGACCTGTGGGATTTGGTTGTTCATTTATCTTAGGAGAATGATAATCATATTCTCAATAGGTAATAGAACTGACAGGAAGAACTGACTTTATAATTCAGTTGACTTGTAAATAGAAGCAAATATTTTATTGGAAAATCTAAACAGGAACATAAGTTTAATACTATTCAACAATGAAGGGATCTTTCTAAAGTTTATCCCATGAGACACAAAGTGTCTCCAGAAAGAATATATGTTCCCCTCTTCTTTACTGGAGATGGAAAGCTCATGAATAATTAAGTTACCCTTGGAATCCTAGAATTTACAAAAAACAAGACAAGGGCATAAATCTCTTTACTATTTTAATTCAGTTGAGTTTACTTGATATTTAGTCATGGAGAAAATCGGAACACCCCTTTGTTGTGGTTGCTAACTCTAACTCTCTCTTTACCCAGATGCATCAAGAGGGCAAGATGCAGATTTCAACTAGGTGACAGTATCTCTTAGGCATTGTCACGTGCACTGGCCATCTATAGTGGTCACAGTGAGCCTTTCCTAGATGAGTTATTCACCCACAGGCAGCACTCCTTGGAAGGACAATGCAACGAGTAATGTTTTGTTCTTTTTTTGTTTTTTTTTTTTGTTTTTATGAGACAGGGTTTCTCACAGAGATCCGCCTGCCTCTGCCTCTCAAGTGCTGGGATTAAAGGCGTGCGCCACCACCGCCCGGCCTAATGTTCTGTTCTTCCATCTGTGTATAGCCCAACTTTTTGTTACATGCACACACACATGGGCATGTGTTTATTATTCATATATATGTGCATATATGTATATATAAATTCATATATACATGTACACATATTTTGTTATTTCTTTGATAACTTCATATTCATGCGATGTATTTTGATCATAATTACCTTCCACTCCTTCCCCTAACTCTTACATCACTTCTCCACCCCCTCCTAACTGTGGCCTCTTTTAAAAAGAATAACCCTCAGCCTTACCCGTGCTGCCCATATTCTTTTGGGTACTAGGACATCCACTGGAGCATAGTTGATGTATCAGAGGCTATATCCTTAAGGAAAACTGAGTCTCCCTCTTCCAGAAGTCATTACCCTTTAACAGCTTCTCAGCTAAAGGTGATGCTTATGAGCTCCTCCCTGCTCCATGATGGAATGTTAGCACAATTTGGCTCTGGTTTTCCCTGACTTCTGGCTCTTACAAATTTTCTGCTCTTTTGCAATGGTCTGTAACTCTTATGGGGAAGGTGGTATCACACACACACACACACACACACACACACACACACACACCACATTTGTAGCTGAGAATTCCACAGATACTTATTTTCTACCCTTTAAGTTGCTTGTTTCTGAGTTAACCACTGTCCACTGTATTAAGAAACTTCTCCGGGTGTGGCTTGAGAGCTGTACTGCTTTATAGATATATAAATATGAATTTAGATGGCATTTTGATACTGTGTCTATTTAGTAAAATAATAGTAGTAGGTTCATCTTTAGGACCTATAAGCTCCATTGTTATTGTTATTTATTATTATTATTATTTTGGAACCAGATTTACAGTACTGATGAGGTTACTTTCATCCTGTGAAATAGTTCTTAAATACAACCAGAAAGCTATTGTTTACTCCTATAACATCTATGCTACTATTATTCTAGGCCATGTGTTTTTGCATAGGTTGTTACTTCAGCTCATAGAGTTTCAGACTGGGTAAGAATGGTAGATTTTCTTCATTACAGACTACATAGCACCTTCTAGTACTATGAAACCTAGCCAGAAGGGAGGAAGTTCTTGCTCAGTCCAACTGACTTTTCATGCCTTGTGACCAAAGGGTTTGCTGTCTTCAGCAATAGAGTTAATATCAAGTTCTAGTGGGCAATCAAGCAATGTCACAGTTTGTGTAGCTTTGGAGGGTGTCTGGAAAATCATGACCAACAACTATAGGAGAGGTATCTTACACCTGGCACTGGGCTTTCTAGTTGACAATCTATGACTTCTAGGAAGAGCTTTATTCCAATTAAACTTTCAAAAAGTTTTGACTTATTTATTTTATGTGTATGAATGTTTTTCTTGCACACACATGCATGTATGGTGACCATGGAGATCAGAAGGTCCCTTGGAATTGAAGTTATTGACAGTTGTGAGTACTCCAAAGTAGACCCAGGTCCTCTGCAGGAGCAAGTGCACTTATCATCATTCTAGTGTCATCCAATTAAGCTCTTTTATAAAATGTTAGTTTCCCTGTGTCTTTTAAGTTATTCATTTCCCAGATTCCTCCTTGCCCTACCGTACCATCTCTCTACACTTAAACCTCCTTCCCTACCCATTATTTCCTTTGTTCATTTATGTGTGAAGTTTAAGCAATGCCATGTGTCTTAACGTTATATGGAATTATATTAAATTTCATGCACAGTGCTTCTATCAGGAAGCTGAATTCTGGAAAATAATTTTTTTGAGATAGGGTTTCTCTGTTTAGCCTTGACTGCCCTGGAACTCACCGTGTAGACCAGGCTGGCCTCAAACTCACAGAGCTCTGCCTGCCTCTCCCTTCCTAGTGCTGCAGTCACAGGCATATGCCACCACCACCCAGCGGGAGGCCGAATTTTTATACATTTCCTGAGACTTATCTCTGGAGTGGCATCAGTAATTGGGATGGCTTTATTAATTGTGTTCCTTCTGCTCCCTTCATCCTATCTTCATGTTTCTTGAGAGACTTACCATTTTCTCTATGGACAGCTTGTGCTACCTCTCTTGCATTACTTCAGTCGGATCAGTCTTGTGACCACTTCTGAAAGCTCAGAAAGTGCACTTGGACAATGTCTCAAGAAAGAAACCAACATTTGCCTTGGGAGCTAGCTGGGCATAGGTTGATGTAAGGGTGACAGAAAGAGAA